CAAAATCCACACCCCTGTTTTTGGAGAATTTTGGCGGATTCAGGACACCTCCATATTGAAAAAGTTGGGGGATTTTGATGGATTCAGGACAGTAAGCCTAGCATAGTGCAGGATTTTGATGAATTCAGGATACCTCCATATTCAGCAGTTGGGGGATTTTGATGGATTCATGATATCTCCTGGGCTACCGGTATATATTTGGTGTGTACGAGGTATGTAATACACTGGTTGATTCTGATGGACTCAGGACACCAAATTCTTTTTGCATGGCAAAATTGGTGAATTTTGGTGGATTCAGGATACTTTCTAGTAAAAGTGCTCAAGGGGTTAGGGTTAAAGTTTCATCACCGTGCAAAATGTTCACATTCTTGAATGGATACATGTACATGTCTTGTTTTGTAAATAAACTCTACACTGGTAAGCTCCATATGTAATTTGTTAAGATACCGGGGGAAAGGGGGGGGGGCTATTTCAAAAAGTGTTGTTTTTCCAGTTCGCATTGCTTCATAATACATTTTTATATAATGACGTAAAAGGGTTTTTTACCCAACATGTCAGCAGTAGGGAAAACCAAATTTTTCTTTGAAAAAAGTTTTGCACAAGCCGGCCAAAACAGGATGGTTTTTCTCTATGTTGCTTCCTGGTAACAAAAACCATTAAAAAAAAAACAGGAATTTTTTGAAAAATTGTGTAACTATTCACTATTTTTCCGTTCTGTTTTCCTGATCAAGTTTGAATTGTTTCATAGCAGAGGTGAATGTACGTAAACTGTGCGTCATTTCCCTACAATGAAAGTATAAGTTGACTATTCCTAAATAAATAAGGAACAGTTTTGTTTTAATCACATTGGTAAACTTGGGTTTTCGTGGAAACAGCACTGCATGAGTAATATGCTATTCCAATGTGCTCTGCGCACAGTTACCATATTAATTTTGACATGTACATGTATATGTATGTACTTGTACGTAAATACATAAATTGTCCAACTCCTAAAAACGAAATAACTTTCTGACTTGGCGTTGAAGGCGAAGCAGCATATCATCTGTGACTCATCATCTGTGTGTATAAAAACTGGATGCTCTTGAAAACCAAGGACTGTAAGTTTGGTGTTGATTGGCGTGAAGGTGACATATATGGAAGAAAACTTGACATTTCCTGCAAACCAAATGAATGTGACAAATGTTGAGACAATGGAGAACGAAACCAGTCTGATTATCAGCCAGAGCGAGAGAGTGGGTGTCGGTGTGGTGTTTCTGATAACATCCATCCTGGCCATCGCTGGCAACGTGATGGTCATTGCAGCAGTGATCCGGTCCAAAAACCTCCAGACGACTACCAACGCCTTCGTGGTCTGCCTGAGCACGGCAAACCTTGTTACAGGTCTGACGTTGCCGTGGAGTGTGGTTGGCCTGCTGAGCTGGGAGGGATGGCCAATGGACAGTCAGGTTCCATGCTACGCAGCGGCACTCTTCTTTTTCACCAGCATTGGGGCCAGCTTGTACAGCCTTGCTGGTATCGCCATCAATCGCATGCTGAGCATCGCAGCCTCTCCCAGCACATACCAACGGTGGTATACAACAGCTAAAATTGCCATCATGATAACCGTAATCTGGCTTCTACCATTCCTCACTGTACTGATTCCACCTTTGTTCGACGTTGGCCAACTTGGTTACGATGAGACAATCCACTTGTGTGCAAAGGTCAACCAGCATCCCCAAGTACAAGACCAGCAGCTTGCAATGGCCATGGTCTTCTACCCAATCCCCATGATCACCCTCATCACGTCTTACTTGGTTATCCTCATCACCGTCCGACGCAATTTCAGACACCAGCTCAAAGCGAACACAAACCAGCCCTCGGATTTTGACTGGGGAGCAGGTCACGAGTCCCGCAGGTCACGCCTCAAACATCAGCAGCTCAGCATCACGGTCAACCTCTTCATTAACGTCTGTGTCTTCCTTGTACTCAACTTGCCCTTTGGCATCGCGTTGATTCTCCCTGACAACCCCCGAATCACTCTCTTCACCGGCATGGTCTTCCTGATGCACTCCTTCGTTCATCCCATCCTGTACGGCCTCAAACACCCACAGTTCAACCAGGCATTCCGGCAGATGCTGCATCTGACTGAGGCCCCCAGCCTTCCTCAGGCTCGGTCCACACCCACAAAAAATGCGACAGACCTCTAAATTTGGCAAAGTTGCTGAAGGTGTAGAAAGCTCACTGGGTCTAGAGTCTGTGCATGAACATAAAATGGGGCTTCCTGACTACTTGTGAGATATCTGGCAGCATTGGTGTTGTGGTCCAATGGTTATGGTGTTCGACTTGTGTGCCGTGGTACACGGGTTCGAATCCTGACCGTGGGAACATGGTGCTTGTGCTCTTGAGCAAGGCACTTTACCCTTATTGCTTCGTCCTTCAGATGGGACGTAAAGCCGTAGGTCCCGTGTGTTGTGTAATGCACGTTAAAGATCCCAGTATACACTTGTTGCTAAGAGAAGGGGTTTGCCCTGGTGTTTCTGGCAGTGGCAGCAATATGCGCCGCAGCACCTAGCAAAAAGGTGCTACATACATGTAATGGGTCTCATATGTTCATATACTTCATTTACCTGTCTTTGGTTGCATTCTCCCACCAGCGCTTTGTATCATTAGGAAAAGGCACTATATAAATAGGGATATTATTATTATTATTATTTTTGTGTACAAGTCACCTTTTTCTTTCTCTTTGTAACCAAGCTAGGGGGTACTTGCGCACATATTCCACAGCAAAGGGCAAGTTTGATCAGTGACCAGTGGTTGGTTCATGACATACTGTACCTAGAGCATGACCTAGGTCTCTAGTCAAACTATTGTCATGTCAATGATCGTGAGAAAATGGCGATCGCAAATTTTTTTCAATGCTTGATGTTTGTGTTTATTTACACACAAAAATAGTGATTGTGTAAGTAAGGATCAGTATTATTGTACAATTATGACAAAAGCGACAAAATTGTAAACTAACACGAAAAAACTATGCAACGAACATGAAATTTAGCACTAAAAGTTTCGTTTTCCGCTATTTTTGTTGATAGTTGGCCCCCTCTACACTATGCTACATGTATGAAAATTGCTATTGATAACCAGCTATAATCGTTGTGCAACCAACCGCAGTACCGTAGGCTGGTCCTAACTAGTTGACTAGACTAGTCCAACCATTGTTGACTAGCGTGCGTTCGATCAAAGTTAGTCAAACTATGGTTAACTATGGTCCTTGATCGAACTTGCCCATAGAATCTCAAATCTAGGAGTCTCTGTTCTCAACCCTGCTCCTTTAAGACATATTGCAGTATGATTCCAATATTACTTGGTGCAAGCCAAAGAGTGCAAAAAAATGATGAGAAGTCAAAGTTGTTTTGTAAAAACATTTGTGATGCTTTTTCCCAATTTTCAGTTAAAACTAAACTGACATTGAATTTGCTTTTCAAAACTGATATGTTCCAGATAATAGATGTTTTTGTATTTCAAGATGTGTTTAATGACTATTGCAATCCATGACATTTAATTTAAATTTAATTACCTTCATCGTAATGACGCTAGTTGTGTCCTTGTTATAGGTAATATTACAACATTTGCTTTTGCCGTAATTTTCAGAAATGGATGGATTTGGGGTTAGTATGTATTTTATTGCAAATATTATTACACTGACCCCTTTAAACATTTGTGTACATAGATGCTGGAAAAATCAAGAAAAAAACTGCTGTTCTTGTAGTCTGGTTCCCTGACCCTACTTCTGACGAAACGGAGCAATTTATAGACGTCAGGGAATTGTCAGGTCAGGGAACCAGACTAGCTTGATTGAATCCGTTCACGGATGTGTAAACGCTTGCAAACAAAATACGGACTCACTAACTTTAGTAAATTGTCAGACTTTTTTCAACGATGGTCGGCCGCCAATTGTTGTACATGTAACTCTTCTTGAAAAATCACATCGCACCAGGTGCCTATTTTACAGGATGCCTGAGACTAACAGTCCAGTAAGGTATTTCATAATAACTTGGTAGTTTTGCTTTTTGTTGTTGCAAATGTTAATAGGAGAAAGTATTAAGTATTGTAGAGAAATTGTGTACAGGGTGAATAAAAAAAAATGAAACCCAAATGTCGGGATCATTGTTCTAGTGAAGTTCTGCATGTAGCACTTTCAAAATCTAGGATATGAAAGTCCAATTCATAAGCTTTCTTTTAGTACAAGAATCATTCAAATCACCCATGTACTTTTCAAGTTACGCAATTTTAAACACAAACGCCGTGTTAAGGTTCTGTCCACGGATCACAAAAAACTTGAGTGTTCTTTCAGCAAAACACACACAAATCACATACGGATGTGTGTGAATTGTTTTCGTTTTGCTGAAAGAACGCACACCTTTTTAGTGATCCGTAGACAGAACTCTAAAACGGTGGTTGTGTTTAAAACTCCGTAACTTGAAAAGTACATGAGTGATTTGAATGATTCTTGTACTAAAAGAAAGCTTATGAATTGGGCTTTCATATCCTGGATTTTGAAAGTGCTACATGCAGATCTTCAATGATACCAAAGTCCCGACATTTGGGTTTCGTTTTGTTTTACTCACCCTGTATGTACATGTACTTGGATATATTTGAGTGGAGATGACTTAGTGCCCAATTTCCAAATGCCACTGTTTTTTTAATTTAACATTATAAACTTTAGTAAAATTGTTCACAAGGGTTCAACGGCAAGCTTAACGAGGGTAATAGTACCAGTATTTGAATCTGAAGCTTGTCAACAAAGAGGTTTGTCAGGGATAAATTCAACGTGGGTTAGGCAATCCCATGAAAGTCACAGTCTGTACATTTGTAGATTCTGAACAACAGGAGCATATTATACTGATGTTAAACAATTATCTGTACCACAATGCAAAACTTACCACACCCCCACTTACTGAGTTAACTCTTACATGTAATTAAACTGTGTCTAATAATACTGTGTACATATTTTTAAGTTTTACCTTTTTGGCCGATATCTGTCATCCTCGCCGTGGTCTACGTTCCAGGTTAAGGAGAAACCTGAAAAATAAAATAAAATATGACAAACTCAGTATTTTACAAATAAAATATGACCAAATTAAGAGAGGATCAATTTTTACAAATTGTCGGACAATTGTACCGGTATATGCATATAAAACAATCTTGAGTTTTAATCTCTGTACATGTACTTACCACAGACGAGCCGGTATCGCTTTCAAATGAGTCCCATTTATTTTTGTTGAGAATAACCAGACTGACCAAAATATGTAGGTTTTTACTCCAGAGAATGTTAAACACTTAATATACACTGCGTAATGTACCTTTTACATATGCTTTTATTCTGTACACTGTAGATGACTTTTGCGAAGTCAATTTATAAGTGAATTTTTTGAGTTTGCAGCTTATAGAATAGATTGTGTGCACATTAGGTACAATTCTTGAAGTACTGAGTCGACCACATGTATGCTAAACAGTTGCAAATGTGTACAATGAACCAATACTACATGTAGTGTTCATTTTAAGTAATCTAGAAACTGACCAATGGCTGCACCCTAATCTTTGTAACCTGAGACCCCATTGGCTATCGTGAGACAAGCCCATTATATCAACTGATGTCATTGGCTCCAGGGTGTGGAAAATCATCCCACACATTTGGAGACTGTGTTTATAGACACACCAAGGAACATGGTAACATAAGAACAGTATGAATCATCATTAGAGTGTAGAATTCATATTTTAATGGATTGATATTGCCTAAAATAAATTAAATGTTGCAAATGTATCCATGACAAACTTCCTTCTCAATTTCCACGCCTTTTTTGTTTGTTCTGCTTTGCGAACTGTAACCATTTCCTTGGCAACATGTCGAATATATATTTGCCCCTGCCAAATGAGCATTGAGTGAAGTCCTAAGATATCTGTTCAAATCTTTTCACCAAATTCTGAGTTATTGACAAAAGTGACACATTTCACCTAACTGAAACCTGAATTTTGCCAACATTTCAAAGACCTACATGTACATGTACGTACTGTATAGGGTGGCCAAAATAAACTTTACACTTTTTCAGGCGCAGATTCCTCAAAATTGGGGAGACATGTTGAAATTGTTTTAAGATATTTCTAAAACGCAAGGTCTTAGTGGCATAAAATGGCATTAAAAATATAGCCAAAATTAAGAAATGACAGCCATTTACAATGTACATATAAATGGTCAAAAACCAATTTGTCCACACGCTTATGAGATACAAGTACATGTGTGGTCATCATTATGGCAGTTCTTTGAGCACGTAGTGCTCACGTTTCATACCGGCAGATGTGGACAAACTGTTATTTGACCATTTCTCTTTTAATGGCCGTCATACATTTCAATGCTTCATTTTTAATGCTACATTTATTTTCACCATATGACACCAAGAACTTCTAGTTTAGGAATATCTTAAAACAATTTCAATATGATTTGATCCCCAGTTTTGAGAAATCTGCATCTGAAAAAATGTATTTTTTGGGCCAACCTGAATAGGTACATGTACAAGTACACAGTGTCCTAACTTGGGGGGGGGTGAGGTGTGGGGGCCCTGGGGGGGACGTTCCCCCAATGGATGTCCGTGCCCCACAGGTGCCCCCCCCCCCCCCCCCGCCATCCCAATTACAAAATGTGTGCCCCCAGAACCTTAACCTATTTACGCCACTGCAAGTAACGTTTGACAGCTCTTTCTTTTTATTGCCATCCAGTGACATTAAATATCTTTTTTTTAAATTTTATTAAATACAACCTTGTATGTATTTTTCATTTTGTAGAAAATGTACAAAATACAAGTCATGATGTGCACAGAAATTTCATACAGGGGTAAGAGATTTGTGGGAGTAGTTGTACAAAATCACTTTGACAAATCACAACATAAACCTACGTAAACAGGATTTACACCATACACTGTATTTGGGTCAAAGTGCGCACAGCCGCATGTATTGATGTGGTCAGTGACGCAGAGTCAATCATGAATCACACGTAATGTGAGTGTCATTTCCCTTCAGACTGACTGTACACTGTCTGGCTGTGCCCGGAGGGTGATCCCATGCACCATGTGATTTCCTCTCCATTATATACCCCCTCCCCAGAAATGTTGCATCCCACCACCGGATTTGTGTATTGGTTACAGCACTGTGGGAGTTTTGGGACATACCAAAATGCACTAGTGGGTTGGGTCGCAGGGTTCACGGATAGGGCATGAGATACAGTAGTCTCGGTTCAAGTCTGGATTTGGTATTTGTTTCCTAACGCAGCTAATGGTGATCCCTAGCAAATGCGGTCAAGCCGCCACCGGGTTTGTAAAAAATAAACTAAAAGTCTCTCACGAGCAATGTGTTAAATACAAAGGGAGAAAATACTGACAAATTTTTAATAATTTAGATTTCATTTAGATGTTAGGTAAGTCTGTAATCAGATATCGATATGTTACAATGTATATTTCAAGCTATAGTCCATCATTTGCAGCTATCCGAAAAGTAATTGGCGTAATTATTGTTGAAAAACATACTTGATTGAAAGATAGTAAGGGAACTAAACTCCCTGTGAAATTATTCTTTCTGGCAAGCTATCAATTTGAAGAAATTAACGAAAGAAGGCCTTTCCAACGGTGCTTTTTAAGACGCACCGTAGGAACATTTAAATTAGTAGTTTGTTTTGTTATTCGTCAAAGCGCGCGCAAGCATTGGCGCAACGCACACGCGCACGTAGTTGCTATAATTCGTCAGATCAGTGCGCGACATCGCGTACCTGCAATCGGCTCAGTGAGAACGTCTCTCGGACGCTGAATTCAGGCCCAATTCAAAACATGATTCAGCAACTTTTGATTTGAAATTGAGATCCTAGAATGCTGTTTTTCTCGGAATGTACAGCTGAAGCTGAGCTGAAACTTCATCAAGTTAGTTGTTCAGCACCCTTCTTTAGATTTTGAGCACTTTTGGTGATTCAAACGAACAAAATGCACAAATTACAAATGATGGACTATATCTTTAAACAGTTACACATTTATCACAACCTTAGCGGGGACAACGAACTGTAGTACAAATTTGTGAGGATTGAAACTTTGTGGAGACACTCGAGCGTCCCCAAAACTTGTCAAATTTCCCCATGATAAAAAGTTCCATTAAACAAGTTCATAATGTAGGTCATTCTATACAAGTATGTACATGTAAGTGTGACATTTTTTCCTATCCCTGTTTAATACCATGAAAGTAGCATTTAGAATGACTTCAATCAATTTGTTGAGTAGTTTGCTATTCATAATCACTCTTGAAGGATGACTGCATTAACCACTTCGCGCAGGGGTTATTTCGACATTGACCGTACCCAGGCGCGGGATTGTTTTTCACGAACCCCGATGCCCAGACAGGTTCAGGCCGTCATCTGCGGGTAGCACACCCTGATATTTCCAGCCTCACTCGCTGAGAGCGGGTTGCAGACAGATATTGCCGGCCTCGTTCGTTGTGTGTGGACCCCAACTTTAAAGAATGACCCATGTACTGGTATGTACTTGTAAGCACATGAAGTCACAGTTGTCAGTCAGCTTAAGACAATTTTAGCAAAACTTAAAAGTTAAACTTACCTTTTTTAAATCTATTTCTCATGACAGTTCCTTAAAGTAAATCCAATAAAGATGACAATGATGACAAATGACAGGAAGAATCAAGAGAACCCTGGCTCCTAATCTAAAACGTCCCGAACATGTGAAGTACATGCATATGTACACACCTGTACATGTTCGTATGCCACAGTCTGTCTCTCACTTTTTTGGTTTAAACCTGACACAATACGCCTAAAGGATATGATGTCATTCTAATTTGTCAGTAATTACTAATTTGTGTACAAAAGTTGTCAGGTCTGGTTGCGGCCTCCTTTGATGAGAAAACCCATTCAGGATTTCCCCTCATTTTACATGTAGTACCAGTCTATGCAGATCAACTTTTTTTGGCCTTGTGCACAAAGGAAAACTTGTTAGATCACTTACATGTAATCATGTCATGGTTAAATTTTGGCGGTCACCTGTCTACTTTACACTGGTACCAGTACCGGTACATAAACGTAAGCAAGAACATGTAGGTGTACCGGGTACCGGTATGTACTTTTAGTTGATAAAATTGGAGATTCACACTCATAGCTTCTGATTGGTCGAGACTCGATCACGTGGGGTGTATTAACGGTGATATAAAGACCGGATTCAAGAACAAGCGAATAAATGGCCCCTGAACCAGCATTGATCCATGCTCATCATGTACGCCAAGTGATTGGCCAAATTTACAACAGCCCTGTGGTAGCTCTTAACAATACAGTAGTACATCAAAGATCCTAAAGCATCCAATAGCACCGCTATCTGCTCCGTTCACAAGTACCCCCTCACCGGCAAAGAAAAGTACAGTTGGGGGTGACCGACCAATGCCATCTTGCCTGACTGCAATTCATTTGCTGCCAAGCGCAGCCACTGCGTGTACCGGTACATTGTACAAATCCCCTGGTGTACGTGCGTCACACACAGAGAACGGTGCATGTCAACCAGCGAAATGTCCCACCCATGGGACGTCATTGCTAGGTAAAAGGGCGCCCTCTTTCATTGGCGCACGGAGCCCATACATGGCACTAAAGGATCTTTGGTACACATGCGCTCAACCACCACTGTGTTTGACTTACACGTTCGTACGCAACACAGTAACTATGTGAGAGTGCGCGAGCAAGGAAGTTTTCAAATGACATACTTGCAAGTCCTACAGTTCTGAGGGTATTTACGACAAAAGCATGGATCAATCTGCGATTTTTTTTCTGTAAACATTTCGTCAGCGGACATATTTACGTTTTCTAAACTGAGCATCTTTGTAATTCTGGGAGTATATATCAGCTTCCTCCATCAGGTAAAAAAAGTTGTATTTTTGTTTCGCTACGGCAGCAGAAGTTCATACCCTGGACGTCAGTCATATTTCAATGAAGACGCCGTCCAGCACAGCCTGGGCCCAAACATATACATACTGTTACATGTATAACAACGCATATTGAAGAGACAGGGTACCATGTGTAAGCTAAAATATGGCCACTGAACATTAACACACAAAAATCTGGAAATTTGCCAAAAGAAAAGTCGCAAAATTGGAGCATTTTAACTGTTTATTTTGTTAAAAAACATAGGCCTACCGGTATTTATTAATGGGAATAACAGCATGACGATCGGGTCCATAATGACCATGTTTGGTGGTGACTGCTGTTAAAGGGAAAATACAACATTTGCAAACATCAAAAAATAAAACTACCAAATCATTTTGAAATTCCTTGCTGGACTGTTAGTGATTGACAGTGTAAAGCATCCTGTAAAATCATGGCACCTGGTATACTGTCGTTTTCAAGAAAAGTGGTATTTTGTATCAATTTCCAACGCTGATCGGCCGATCAGCGTTGGAAAAAAACTGGCTTTTTTTCAAATCCTGGCCCCATTTGACTGTCGCACTTGTTAGCAATCGATTACAAACCTATGAACGGGTACAAGCCAGCTAGACTGGTTCCCTCCCCTTACAATTCCCCAATGTATGTAAACTGCTCTGTTTCTTCTTATATGGAGTCAGGGAACCAGACTACAGGAAAATGATTGTTTTCTTAGATTTTATAGCATTTTCGAACCCCAAAATCTCAAAAAAGTCAGTGTAACTATATTTGCTATATATTTCCAACCCCCCAATTCCATTCATTTCTGAAAATTACAGCAAAAGCAAATGATGTATATTCCCTTTAACAGGTTAATGGACCGAAACGAACATTAACAACAGTCACTCCCAAACCCTGTCATATTATCACGCAGTGAAAACCTGATCCTCAAACTTTTACTTCCTTAACTGAAGGTAACCTACATGTATGCATGTACATGAACAATTACCCAAGCAGGACTGTGCTTTAAAGGGAATATACAACATTTGCAAACATCGAAAAATAAAACTACCTAGTTTTTACGAAATACCTTACTAGGATGTTGGTAAATGACAGTCTAAAGCATTCTGTAAAATTATGGCACCTGGTGTGAAGTCATTTTCAAGAAAATGGTATTTTTGTAAAAATTTCCAACGGTGGTCGGCCGACCACCGTTGGAAAAACCTAACTATTTTTCAACTACTGCTCCAAATTAACCATTTTTCTTTCAGTCCAAATTTTGTTTGCTATTGGTTACATGTTCATAAACGGGTGCAGGCCGGCTAGACTGGGTCCATTACCTTTCCATTTTATATTTAGTGGAGTCAGGGAACCAGACTACTTGAACATTTTTGTTTTTCTTGGTTTTTCCAGCATTTTCGAACACAAAACTTCAAACATGTCAGTCTAACAATATTTGATCTATTATACTAACCCCTCAAATACTTAATTTCTGAAAATTACGGCAAAAGCCAATCATGTATTCCCTTTAAGAATGATGTTTGTAAAATTGAGACTTTAATTTTCTGCACAAAGTTTTTGATGGCCTCAAATCCTAAATGTACAACTTCTGTACCACTAGCTCCCCGCAACAATTGGATACCATGTACCATATTTGTTTACATCCTTGTAGTTTTGTACAGTATATGAAAAGTGTCTTCATCTCAATCTTTTTGTTGTGGGCTGTGGAGTAGTGGTTTTTGGGAGTCAGAGTCTTGTGTTCAAAGTTGTGGTTAGGTCCGCAGACTGTGTATTCATATCCCATGGGGTGAGGGGCTGTGGAGAGTGATCATTTTCCCACTTCAACAAGTGCAGTGTGATATTTTGGACTCTAAATGAACACTTACTTTTTCTCTCTACGGGTTTTGTTCAGGCTTGCAAGCTACAAATGTACCGGTACACACATGTAAAATGCCATGGGTGTTTATTACAAGGAAGCCTTGACTTAATAGTCCAACTTGAATGCCCTAAGCAACCAACAAAAAATACTTAGTTTTATACATAGAGCTATATTAAATTACTAGAGCGCTAACTTTGTGTACCAAGTAATGCCTGCTGGGCGCATCCATGTTTGTGCACAAACCTATGGAGACCCAGAAATTTTGTACGGCTTTTGTACGGCTATTTGCATATCTGCGTTTGTATTTCATACCAGTGCGTTATCGAAGCCAATACGCCCAAAATTGAAACGCACGATCAGCAAATGAGCGTGTCATTTTGCTCTACGCAAACAGCACAACGCGTGCGCGTATTCGCTGCAGATGCTTTTTGCCGTCACGTTTTTTTAACCGTCAATGACGCGCTTAAGCTGTTTGCGTATGTTCTACTTGCGCGTTGCATGTAGAGTACACTTTCAAAAATTCAATCCATCTAATTTCATTATGTTCTACAAACACGCACATGAATTCAAAATGTCTGCGCCCAGGACGGCTTCAAAGCGTCTCCGCACGCAGAATGACGAGTTAGCGCTCTAGTAATTTAATATAGCTCTATGGTTTTATATGAGCAATTTCTAGTCCACACAGACCACGTGGATGATCTTTCAATACCAAAGGGCCTGATAGACCTTTTTCAATAATTGTTTACATACTTACTTCCCATACAATGACTTAACATTTTTTTTTTTGGAAAGATAATAAAGTTTAGAACACAGTAACAAATTTAAAGTTAGTATGAATGCCTTTATCTGAATAAGGATGTTTGTACAATGCCAAGTGGACATTATGTCACTTATTTATGGTGACAAGGCAAACAACTGATAAGGGATGAATTGTGCAGCTAGAATAGCCTTCATAACAAAGGCACACTAGGAAATGACAAAGCAAGCGCTAAAGTGACTGTGTGTTAGTTCTCTCATGTCTAAATTTATGACAGCGCTGACGCTGTTTTAGCACCAGGTGAGTCACCACTAGGTGACTGTTAACTGGGCTTTGATGTTTATAATGTGGGGCATTCTATCAATTTAGGGTCCACTTTTTAGCTGCAGGAAAACAGCTCTACAAGTACTCATGTTTCTCAGTTGGTTGGTTGGTTAGTAACAAACTTCACCAAAATGCCTTTTTGGCAATCAATCACCTCGTCCCTTAGGCCCTCGCAACAACACTTGCCTCAGACAAGTACTTGTGTCTCTCCATTGGTTGGTTGGTTAGTAACAAACTTCACCAAAATGCCTTTTTGGCAATCAATCACCTCGTCCCTTAGGCCCTCGCAACAACACTTGCCTCAGACAAGTACTCGTGTCTCTCCGTTGGTTGGTTGGTTGGTTGGTTAGTAACAAACTTGTGTCAATGCTTGCCCGCACCCATTCACGGCTTTGCCGAATTAAAAACAGACGACTAATGGATATTTCCAAAAATGCTAAAACCATGCAAAACCTTTTTGATCATGAAATACAATTTTGTCCACAGCACTCTGAATTTCCAAAAATCAGTCAATTGACTAATCATTGGAAATTAAGTATATTTCTTGATTTCTTCTGAATAACAGCAAGCTAGGTGGAATAATTTCATGGGATGTTTAGTACCAGTACGATCTTTAATCCAGGTAAACATTTTGATAATAATTCGGTAGGTTACTTTTTGGATAAATGCAAATGATCCTATAGGTCTATGCCTTTATTCTTCATGATTATCTGGAAATACTCGTGAGTAAACCAGAAACTCGCGTACTCAGACTCACCTTCACTGTCTTCGTCTCTCTTCCCGTCCTTGTGGAAGCTATTCAAGACACCAATGTAATCGGCAGATGAGCTTGAGATGGGTCTGTCGTACTCCGATGACGCGATGGAAACCGGCCTGTCGTATTCCATGGATGCAGCAGAGGCGGGTCGATCATACTCAGAGGCCGGTCGGCCGCGCTCGCTGCTCTTACGCCTTCTCCGTCGGAGGTTGTCCTGCAGCTCGGACTGGACGCTCAGATTCAAAGAGTCCATCGACACTCTGTTTCCAGATCTGACGGACACTCCATCCTCAGAGGCGCTCGAGTCTCTCGCATCACGATTTCTCTGCTGGGCAACAGAGGGTAACTCCTCTAGGTAATCACTGCTCGCGTCACTGTCCTCACTGTGTGTCGTCAGGGAACGGCTGCTGCGATTGTCGCTGTAGTGCCCCGACATGGTAGACTCCACAGAGCTGCTTTTCCTCAGGAAAAGCGGCATGTGAAACTCAAAAGCCTTACGTCTGGACTCCTTGTCAGTGGAATGTGGAGACTTAAGTTTCATGGGCTGCATCTCGATCTCCACAGGTACACGGTCTTGTTCTTCGTCTTTAGTGCTAAGCTCTTCATTGTCCTCACTACCTCTCTGAGGGAGGACGTCATTGTCTTCATGCCGTACCGGCCCACTGGCACGGACCTCATACAGAGTTGAGTAAGTGTCGTCCTCGCCAATGTCCTCACATGGTAGTGGTCTGGTATCCTTACCGTCCATGTGTTTTGTCGGTGATGCCAGTGGTGGGACGACATCAGCACCTGGGGCATCTGAGGGCGGTGCCTGGACGTCCTCATAATCCTCTTCGTCTGAGGACAGCTGATCTGCATCCCCAATGGAGACGTTGCTGATGAGAGATGATATGGCGCTTCCAGCTGAGCTTGCTTGGGAAAGTCTATTATTGCCATCCAGTGGGCTAGTGACTTCTGTGGGTAGCTGCTGAAAGATGTAACACAAATACTTTTACATTCAATTGTAAAGCCTGCATTTCAAAACTACAACATTTCAAGATAAGAAACTAAATATCCAGTTTTGAATAGATACAAATTGTGTTCAAATCACACTACAGCACAGCTTAGCTCACTCAAACCTTTTTTGAAGACACATTTCCGCCATATTTTTAAATAAAAAAAATTAAAAATTGGGACAATCTTGGTATAAAAATGGCAAGACCATTTCTCAATATGGTATTAGACACAAAACTGTAGAATAGTCCAAAGACTGTGACCTGTGAAAATTTGTCCACTAACCTCTGTGATAGCCTCCTGTCGTTCCAAGCCCCCTAGCGTGGCTGGGGCTGACTCGTGCTGCCATTTGTTGCGTCCGCGGCCGGCCGCATTCGAGTCTCTCTTTTTGACGGCGAAGCGTTGACGCCTGGTGTGAGGAAAAAAACACAGATTGAAAAACATTCAAGAAAAAGGAATTATGATGCCAAATGGCAAAGTCTGCATGCCATCAATGCCATAGTGCCAGGAATCTTGGAATGCTAGTAAAAGGTTGAAAGTTATGTTCCCTGTTCTATTTTTGTGTTTCATACCGAAAAATATATTTCTTTATTAAATTGCTTTTCTTCTAGCAATATACACGTAAAAGTTATTCAGTTCGAATAAGACATTGACCGATAAAAAAAGGTCTATATTTAGTTATGGAATTATTACTTTACCAATTTTGAATTATTAGCGGCCTGACAATGACTCCGTTGTCGTGGAGTAACCTGGTTCCCACCCCACAATCAGTATCAATAATGTATGGGAGCCAGTCTGCTTGCAAAGCAGCTCTGTTTGTGCCCAAAATAAAAAAATAAAAATTCGGAGGGTTGCAGACGTCCGAAAAAGATTTTAAGAAAAATATTTTGGGAGGTTGGAATAAAACATACAAGTTGAAAATGTATTAAGAGAGCAACTTGCAAATTGTGAACGAACAAAGAGACTTAGGAAGAAAATGCAAGATTTGAAAGGTCTTAAATGAAATTCGTTTTTACCCATCTCCAAGTGATTTTTTTTTTCATCATTTCTTCTTGAATACTACCGATATAAAATTTCAACATGAAAATTTCTTGGAGTGATTTCAGTTAAAAATCATTCCGTCAAAAATTAAAGCGAAAAAAAGGGCAACCTGGAGTAAAATGCCCCAGGCGGGCCAAGCAAGGGTTCTGGAAGCTGGCCGCGTGACCTTTTACTTTCATGCTCCATTGCAACATGGCCAACCCAGCAGTCAAAATAATCAAGTGACTGTTTTTAACAGTTGAGTGCTCCCTGCCTTCATAAAGCAGGATTGACTGGCTGTGATTGTTATGAAACCTGATATAGCCATGCTTTGACTGTAGGAGATTGATAAGCCAGCTGTGCCTACCAGTCACCTGCGTTTTGTCTGTTGATGGAATTTGACTGTCACAGTGCCTAATGAAATATGATCTGACTGTTGGTGACTAGCCTGTGTAAAAGGCATGGCAGGGGAACAGGATTGAATTTTTGGCTGTGGCAGGGATTGGTTGAAAGTGTGCTGGCTGCAGCAAACGGACCAATCAGAGATTCCATACGATTTCTTGCCTACAAAGAAGGCTGTTAGAATGTCCACTCACGCCCCCCTGTGCCAAAGGGGTTCTCCGGAGACGAGCACCGGAAAACCGTATTGTACATACAATGCAATCTGCACAAATGCTTATGATCCAGTACTATGTATTCTATATAATTATACTTCTACATATGGCCAAATTTGGGCACGTGTTCACTGTGTACACATGAGGCCAACGTCAAGACTGAAAGCACTGTGCAGGCTATCGTGCAAAGCTCATGCCTCCTGACAGATTATCTGAACAATAGCTAGCACAATGCTTTCGCCATTGAAGGGGGCCTTCGTGATAGAATTGAATGCATGCCCGGATTGATCTGTTCATTGTACCTTGATCGGTTGCACAGCATGTCTGAGCCTTCACCCTCAAGGTGTTGTTCTGAAAAAGACAAAAGATAAACACAGTTATAAATATATTTATTTATGTTAACACTACGAATGAAGAAGCAAAACCAGAATGAGAATTTTGTTGGTAAATCAGGCATCACAACCCTCCTCATAATAATAATAATAATAATAATAACAATAACAGGATTTATAAAGCGCCATCAAGCAACACAAGATAATGAAAACAGACATATTAACATGAAATTGGAAAGAGGGCCCAATTTCATAGCACTGCTTAACAGTAAGTAGACAAGTTGTGCTTCCTTTAGCAGAAAATCATGCTGCTGCTTAAGCACAATTTCATGCTAACGGCTGCGCTCGCATGGAGATTTCTATTGTTACGTCACTGATTTAAGCAAGTTTTCTTCTGGGGTTAAGCGTGCTTTTGCTGTGCTTACTGATTAACAGTCCCTATGAAATAGATGGAGGCTCGGTAAGCACAAAGTTGGCTGTTAAGCAGCGCTATGAAACTGGGCCCTCGTGGGCATTTAAGTATTTTCTTCATGTATCAAATACAATGTACATGTATACATTTTTATGTGTATATGTGTAAGTGCTGTACATTGTATTGCACATACTGGTACATGACGGGTAGTTGGGTACTCACCAAAAATGTATCGAAGCATTCTATTTCCTGTGAATGTCTTGTGATAAAGAGTTTAAACCAGTACACGTACATGTACAGCAATGTAAGTGACAGTCACAATTTGATACGGGAATCAATGAATGTGTCCATCCAAGAGCGACAAGACGCTCATTTTCCAGCTATTAAGCAAGAACAATCGCACTAACCATAGAGCTAGGCACTAACTCAATCAGTGGCCCTTTCCTCGTGGCTCTCACTGCCTTATTAATGACAGGGTCATCATTCTATGAGACTGAGTCATCCCTTCATTCGGGTTGCCTGGGCTAAATTAAGACACCCCTCCCCCTAATGTCAGGCAGGTGGTATATGAATAGCCAACTCATAAGTGCAGTATAATGATATTAAGGTTGGGCTTGATTTTTCATAAAGGGAGCGCTTTGGCACGATGACGTGACAAGCACATGCGTGGGATCATGTAGATCAAGTTGTCATGTCACAAATGAAGGTCAGGGGTCACCGAATCAGGTCATATCATGCTGTAACTTTAGTGTATTTTTTTTCTGTTATTATGTACATGTACAGGTCACGTTCAACATATTGAACATACATTTATCTGAACCACTGAGCTACATTAAAAAAACTAGCGTACTGACTACCAGGGGTAATTGTACAAAGTGATGCCTGCTGGGCGCATCCATGTTTGTGCACAAACGTATGGAAAGAGTGCCATATTTTAAAATTGATAAGCCCCTTGATATTAGCCTAAAAAAACCTTTTGTGCACATGGTTAATGCATATTGTCATATTAAGCATTGCCATAATAATCCTAAACATCACATAGAGTACAGCATATCAGTTCCTCCAAATTTTCCCTTGAATTCAAACTGTAATTAAAAAAAAATCAAATGTATTAGGCTCCTAAGTGTAATCACCGCGTTTTTGTGCAAAAAAAATGTTACGTCTGTAAAAATTTGTGAAGAATCATTGCATTCAACAGAGGCTAAAATCTGACACATATCTTACCTGTATCTGGTAATTCCTGTGTCCTTGCTTCAGCCAGTTCAAAATATGCGTCCTCAACCACCTCTGAACTTTCACCCTGTGACTCGTCAACTTCATTCTTGGTCGTTGGGGAAATCTGGCCAGGTTCTTCAATTCCATCTTTCCTTTGCAAGGTGATGGGGTTAATGAAGTCAGGGAGACAGACTTCGTACAGCATGGACCTCTCTGCTGGGTGGGACTTGATGCGCTTTTCACGCCGGCGGGACTCGGGTAGCATGTCGGAAGCTTCGGCCGTTTCTTCAGTGTCTTCAGATATCGGTTCTTGGTCTGTTTGCTGTTGGCTGCCTTTTGACTGTGCTTCCTGCGGTAGACTTGCAGAACTCCCAAAGTTATCAGCCAGCTCCATCTGAATTCCTTCCTGGTCATTGTCCGTTTCCTGCACTGTTACGTCATCTCCTTGTTGACAGGTTGGTCTTCTTTCTGCTGAGTCAGTTTCACGCTTGACTCCAGCCTTGTCAGAGGCTCTGGTTTGCCTTGCTGGCATAACGAACAATGGGGTGACGTTCCTGTACGTGTGTGCACTGTGAAATGGCTTGGGCAGGGCATGGTCTGGTGACAACATGTCATGTCTCTCCGGCTGTGATGCGCTCTCCAGTTCAATCGGCAGGCTGAACCTAGGCTTAGGACTCTTGGGAGGTGGTTCGGCAACATCTAAGGCCACTTCAGGTGATACAAAGTCATGTGATGTCCTCCACTCTGGGACGACCACATCGGTATAGTCAGACTCGCTGTATGAAGTCTCCGATTTCTCTGAGTCCTGTAATAATTTAGAATCTGGGACACCGTCATCGTCTTGGGTATTTGCATTTGACTTTGGAATGATAATTATATTGGAATTTGATTGGGAAACGTTTGACTTCTGAATGTTCTGTGATGAAACTGAATCAGGAATGACGACATCTGTGTACCCTGAATCCCCAGCATCAGAGTCTGTGGTGACGATGTATGTGTCTTCAGTATCTCTTTGTGAAACACTCGACTCCTCGGTTTTCTTGAAGGTACTTTCATTAGGAAGGACAACGTCGGTGTACGTGAAGCTTGACCTTCTGTTTGAAATTCTTGAGTCCTCAGTGTGCTCATCTTCTGACAGATTCGGCGACGGGGGACGGCGTGGACGATTTTTGATGCTCGACTGGGGTGACATAAATAGGTCGTCTGAGGACACAGATGCCACAGAAACAGTTTCATCTTCCGCAGATGCATCTGTTCTTGGCGAGACGTTCTCGGGCAAAACGGTGTTGTCATGTAGCTCAATATTAACATAGGAATGATGTTTATCACGGCTTCTAGACATACTGCCAGAGGTGTTGGATAACTTAGGGATGACACTCGTTTCGTTGACGTCAGATGCCCTGGATGAAGTTCTGGACCTTGGCTCACTGATCTGTGAGTCGCGGTTCCTGGAGGTCTCTACTTCGATCAGTTTCTCAAAGATTGCCGCCCTCTCTCGGACGCGCACATGCTGAGTTGTCTTAGTCTTTTTCCTCCCCATTTCTTGTCTGTTGACAGGTGAGCTGGGACCAGATTGCGAATTCGGGCTGAGTGGTTCTCCCCGTTGATGAGATGGTGATTTGGGATAGGACGCCTCGGAGCTTGAGGCTGTCATTTTGGAGTTTTGTTTTTGTGCCCCAACACGTGTACCAGATTGCTCAAGGCTCTTTATATCTGCAGAACTGAGGTCTTGGAAAAGGTTCGGCAATGATTTCCTCGGAGTGGGGATGGGATGTTTGAAAGGTTTGGTCGCTTGTACGTCCTCTCTTGGAGGTGAATTATGAGCACCGACGACACTGACACTCTGTGACCGCTTGTCCCTACCCTGTGGGTCTTTGTCACGGTTTGAACGGCCCATCAAATTGTCAGAACTGGGCGACCTCAGCTGGAGCAAATGCGGAGGTTTGGGTGGCAGTTTTGGCGGTGTTGCTCTCGGCTGAGGCTTGCGCGGAGTGGGACGGGGATTTTTATGCGGAGGCACCGGCCGGCTACGAGGCCCCTCTGGACAATAACAGGAAGTGATGCTGTTGGAGGCACTTCCAGTCTGGCTGGAGTTGTAATCTCCGTTTGGCAGTGCAGAGTCATTCTTGCCAACATCCTCCCTAGGACTGGCGGACTTCCCACTGTGCACGGGGGGACCACTACTACCACCCCTGCTGTGGTCGAGATCGTCCTGCTGTGATCCTGAAATGGCCGACGTGTTCTCGGACATCATGTCCGGCGTGGTAGTGGGGCTGCTGGGGCCGCTGGTTAGGTCACTGGAAGGTACAGGTGAGTTGCTATCAGTCTTCCCATCATGCACTGCTGGCTTCTGGTTGCTAGGCTGTGTGGCCGGCACTTTGGTTACAGCCACACTGGCAGCCATGTTGTCACATTCTGTCAAATTGGAAACAAAACAAAATAGATGAAGTTCAGCCAGTTACATTTCTCTCGAAACGAATTCTGCAGAATGCAAAACGAATGCTGCAGCTCACATCTTTTGTACTGGTACATGTTATGCGGCAAAAAAAATATCAGAATAAAACCATGTACAGTTGTACATGTACCATGGATACCGGCACATGTACAATGTACTATACATGCATGTGGTTTACAATACATGCATGTGGTTGCTTGGGCAATTGTGAACTACTTATAGGGTGCACTGAACTTATTCAAGTGAGAATTTCTACGCGAGTCATTAGCATAAAAAGTGACCCCACAATTTCTTTTGAAAACAGAGACCGTTTGGCTTTAACAACGGTGGAACTGTGTAAATATACCAAAGGATCAACTCCCTGGTTTTTGGGCTTCCATCTGAGGGCAGGCTTGATAAAATTATGGATGAAAAATGGGTCCTATTTACCTGAGAAAGTGGAAGGATGCCACTTGTAAAATGGCTACATGCAGGCTTGGGAACTATCACTTTTCGGGAGGTGATTTTGTTTGGGTGTGAATATTTAAAAATGTAATTGGCTAATGTACCTTAAATTGAAAAGAAATGAAAAGATGAAAGACAAGACAATAATTTAACTTTTGTTTGAGAAACCCCAGTGATGTCGGCTTGCATGTTATTTGGCCCTGAACTTTGTTGATTTTACAATGTTTTCAATTGGGCTTGAATTAGTACAGTGGACCCCTAAATTACTACAACCACAGAATCTTGTGCATTTATTCACAGTTTACAAATGTGAAGCAGAGCTTTGTCACCTTCATTCAGACAAAGCCCTCACAGCAGTATTAATCTACATGTATCTGGCCAGTCACTCAACAGCCACCCCTGTTGTAAAGTACACACATTTCATATTCAATCGACTTGAACCTGTGCATTGTACAAACTACATGCATGCATTGGTAGTGTTACTGTTAGGCAAGTGACTAAGGCAAAAACATTGAGACAAAGACCGGAGGTCTCCATGCTTCAACTCAACTGTTCATTCATCCGTGGCATCTGCTACAAGGTTGTATGTATTTACAGCAGTTTGGCTTTATTCCAAAATGAAACTCCAAATTGAACGACCTTTGTCATTTTTGCATCAGGAAATGCACATGTGTGTAAAATTTAAAAAAAAAAGAAGCTTTTCTTGGAGCAAAGACCAGTAATCTAGTTACCAGAGCTTAAAACTCACAACAATTACCGGTGTGTTACCAGTATAAGTGTTCATGATCTTCGTAAAATTTGACATTCCTTAGAAAGCGAATCAAAACCATGAAAACCCTGGATTTAAGTCAAGACTATTGCACGTCTGTCTGGCTTTAAAAAACAATTGATCTACAGCCTTACGGGTATTGCATTAAAATCGCGTCAACGCAGCTCGTGAAATATAGTCCAGTTACATGACGTATAAATTTAATGGACACGCAATACGCAAAATCGAAACAAACAAAACTTAACATACAAAATTCCACAGAGTTGTCTAAGGGGCGTGGCTAGCTAACTCACAAACGGCGATACCCGTAGGTCCTCAATTGCGCGACGACGCTTCACATGTGTGTCCTCGATTTACACCACATATAACCCTAACCGCCCCAAACCTTTAAAATCCAACAACATCTTTTACACAGTTGGAATCTGTTGGAATGAGGACTGCACCAGTAAACTGATTATGCTTTACATGGGGTCAGGCATACCACCATAATCAGAGTCCAACAGTTTGGGTGTTGAGTTTACCACACGGTGTTGGATTTTGCAAGAATGAGGAAGGTTCCCAGTAAATCACTCAAGGGGTTAGGGTTAAACTGAAAACTTAAAATTTTGCAAACATGTAGATTTGAGTGATTTCCATTCCATCAATCATTACAAGGTGAAAGGCACAACAGACTGTACACACACATTTCTATTTACCAGTATACAAATCACTGAAAATCCCCATGGAAATAGTTCACAAAGAGTACTTGTATGAAAATGTACAATGTAGATAGAGAATCTTTCTCCTGATTTCATTACAAATGCATACTGAATACCATTTTTAATGTTACTGAATGTGAGCTACATACGCACTGTGTGTTTACATGTATCTCGATCAAGTCGAAAGCAGACGAGACCCAAATGGTATCCATCCCCACGCGTGACAAAATTCACAGTTCAACTCAATTGCCAATGTAATACTTTCTCTAGCATACACTGATTGGGCCAGCCAAGCCAGTGTGATTCAATGTCGCCTTGCACTAGACGCCCTTTAGACCTGACACCTGGATTTCTCGAAAATTTGATAAGTTATGCCTGGAAAAGCCATATTTTTTAATAATTACCTAAATTCAGGGTTTGGCAAACAGCCATTTACGTTGGCGGGCAGGCTACAGTACTGCAACTGCACACGTGTACATTGTATATTTCTATAATGTGGTTGGGCACCTTGTTGGCATGTGATCATTTCCAATTTTATTCCAGTAAAAAGTACATGTAACCTACCAAATTATTATCGAAAAGCTTACTTGGATTAAATTGAAGACTGTATTGAGCACTAAATATCACATGAAATTATTCTGTCTGGCTTTCTGTCCTTTTGAAGAAATTGAGAACGTACAGTTAGTAGTACAGTAAGTAGGTGATTTCAACCGACAAATTTTCGAAATAATGAATGTTATATGGACGAAACTGTGTTTCGTGATCAAAAGGTTACAGTGCAATGTTTTTCACTGTTTTCTCGAAAAGTGTAATATCCACTGAGCTGAAACTTCAACAGGTTGGGTTTTATATTCAAATTTGGATTTTGACTGGCGTTAGTGGAAACAAAATGCATGAAAAGTAAATGATCTATACATGTTTGCCTTAAAAGACTTTTGCTAAGATTACTGCAGATAAAGAACACTTTTTAAAAAAATAAATGAAAATAAAAACCATTTATTTAATGATAAACGATGGTCAGTTTCGACCTTCTTCATGGCATCTGACGAACTCATGAATTATCAAAACTGAAATTCAAGGTTTAAGCAAAACAGAATTAGGGAGATACATTGTACACTATACTGGTGCTAAAACAATCAGCATTGCTCTGAAATGACTCCAATCTTAGTTCTTACCCACAGTCTGCCCAGCAATCCAAACTTTGACTGGGCGCCGAAACACCCTGCTCCCCACAGAACGTCCAGACTTACTCCGTGTCCTCTTTGAAAAGTGCAACCCCATAGTTAAAGCACCACGGATATCAACTCCAAAAAGAAAAAGGGTCTACAAGACGATAAGCTGATCAATCCTAAGAACAAATCTCCAATTTTTCTTTTCACAGTCAAGTCTATCAACTTCATGCCAATAATGCTTTCCTTCGAAGTACAAATATACTTTTCCACGCCAAAAGGCCAATGGGAAATGACGAGATGTAGGCAAGCGGCGGACGCGGTGAGACAGCAAAAGAGCCAGACTCCAACCCGTAGTACACAAATGTACGTTCCTTTCTCAACAGCGAACGGTGACGGGCAGACGGGACACCTTCCAAAAAAAATTGGCGCGGTGCATGGGCAGCTATCTAAAATGCATTATAGATGTGCGGCTCTGTGCATGTGTACATGTACTGCAATGCCTGGAAGCTTTCCAGTAATTTTGAATTTTTCCTTTCTGGAATTCCGGAAATTTGCAAAATCTCCCCATCCGAATAAAACAAAATTAATATGAGATTTTTTCTATACTCTTCAAAATCAAATATGTAAAGAAACCAGGAAATAAAAACTTTTACTCGGTTATGTAGCTACATGTACTCTAAAATATTGACAAAATGCACTCATGCATGCTATAACCTACAGGTGCTATAAGGAATCTATTCATAAACAAGAAGGTTTATGAAGTATGCTATGAAACCAGCACAACTTTTTATTGTCCATAAATCAGACAATTTATTACAAGAATTTGAGGCAAACAGTAAGAATTTTCATTGCAACAAGTATGTACTTTTTGCTATGTATAGGACTTAGATGTCTACAGTGTACCCCGGTCTACAGGTCGTGTACTTTTCTTGGGTGTTTTTTTTTGGGGGGGGGGGGGGGTAACGGGAAGAAGTACATATAGTAGTCAAGTACCAAGGTCACAAATAACATAACAGTCAAACCACACATCCCAGTCACAAACACTTGAAATAACAAAATCTTCTGCATACCGTGCAATGTGTGTACTGCACGGTATGGCTGTCTATTATCTTGCTATCTATTATCTTGTACTGGTTTTATAAAAGTATGGGGAAAAAACATGAAACTCGATCGTAGATCTGGTAAACTGGTATTGCAGTCTTATTGTACTATTGTAGTATAAACGTTGGCCTCTTATGGTTGGTCAGTATCAACTGAGATATAAAATTCAGATAAACAGGTATACGTGTACATTGTATTGTATTCCACTGGTCGTTATTCACAATTTTACAGTGGTTTTTTTTCACATTAAAAAACAAACAGACGTACACCCTTACATGGTATCCATATCCTGAAAGAAGAATCGATTCCACAAAAAAACCTAGCAATGTTGTGGTTTTTTAACTCTTCCCTCAAAGCATTACAAAGTAAATGTAGTAACTTCATTGTCCGCATTTTGTTACCATTTGTGCTGTAAATGCACAAAGGGACAAATCAGACTTTACCCATGCAGTAGCATTAACGTTGAAAATACAATATATTTTTCAACGTTACATATGTATTACAACGTTACAATACATATCGGGTATTAAAATTTCCCCTATTTTTGGAGCACATGCTGACTAATTTTTGACACAGATAGTAAGCTTAGATCTTAAACTTCAAAGATGTACCAATTACAGTATAATAGAGCAATTAATTGCGGAGTAATTAATCCCCATTTGAAAATGACTGCACACCAGGTGCCATATTTTTACAGGATGCTTTAGACTGTCATTCACTAACACTAACAGTCTAGTAAGGTATTTCAAAATAATTAAGTTGGTACTTTTGTTTTT